TCACCCCCCCCCCCCCCCCAAAAAAAAAACCCCCCCCCCCCCCCCCCCAGTTGCGAGAGGTCTCATTCATAAGAGCTACCTCCCTGCTTCTTGAATGATGCCATAAGCCCAGCCCCTTTTCTTCCCTCCTGAGGAGGAAGTGGATGAGAGGGAAGCACCGATGAGGCGGTTTGATAATGTAGCAGCAGGGAGGATGTGATTGTTGCTACAAACCAACGACTGAATGTGGCTTTGGGATAAGAGCAAGATTCAAGTTGTGAAAAGTATTTCTGTCCACTCTTGTGTGAATGTGTCAACACTATGCGTTCTTTTGTCATCGTTTTTCAGTGTTTAAATATGGGAAATGTTACCAACTGCAGGACTGAACCCAAGGAAGTTTGCAACAATTTTCATAGTGTAAATATCATCATGAAGAGATCTAAACAAGAGTTTTTAAAGACAAAACGTTGCTAATTCCCCATTCTGCGAATGTGTTTTAACTGTTCCCAGAAGTATTATGAGATGCTTATTGTGCTTTGTGTTTGTGTGTGTGTGTGTGATTGAAATTTCAGCCAGTAGAGCTGAGGAAAGGACAAATGACAACTTTCTAATTAAACCCACATGTTTTTTTTGCTTGTTTTTTTTTCCTTTTTGAATCTCGAGGCACAGTTGAACATGGGTACGCACAAAAACACACAATATGAGGAATGCTTCCAGGAGGTTCGAATGCCAGGGATTCCCTTCGCACTGGCTTGGTGTCAAGGCTGCAGCTGGACTTGCATGTGTGGCTGCTTGTGTGGAAACCCAGAGTGGCAGATTCTTTTACTGCTTAGGAACAAGCATTTTATTTTGTTCTTGGGCACAAATTAAAAACAGTTTGATAATTGCCATTTACTAGCAACTCCCCCAAAATTAAAAAAAAAGGCAAAATAGGATTATTTTCCACAGAGAATAATTGTTGTTGTACTCAGTATCTGAGAAATTGAATTTTGTCTCTTTTTGGATTCTAAACTCATTGGTTAAGAGGGTCATTGTCATTTTAGTACTCAGTAGATATGTTTACATGGATATACAGTATTATATTAAATGGCCAACGAGTATAAAAATGCGTCTTCTTCTTCTGACTTTAATCCACCAGTTTCTGGTCTTTTATAGAGGGAAGGACAGCAGTGCTATAGTTGATGGCAGCACAGATCTTTCATGGGTGTTTACTTCCTCCCGCTCTCTCATCCGGTAAAGGAGGATGACAAACGGCATATATTGTTTTGACAGAAGAAAAAAAAACACGTTTCACCTGTAGCCCAATTAAGGTGTGCAGTAATGTCTCCACCATTGTTAAAACGTGGCGCGGGTTCATTCTGGGTTGCTCAGAAGACATGTTTGAACTTTTGTTTATGTTTCTGTCATAATTAGAACTTCTGTTCTGAATTAAAAAACTGGTGCATGTAAATCCTTGTCATGATCGGCTTAATTAATTTTGTGTTCATGTAAACATTTGGATTATTTAATCCAATTATCAAAACATTTTGCTCATTTAAACATAGCTAATGTGGGCAATGGCTCAAATTAAAGTCCTGTATTAAACATGCAATGGGTGAAAGAGTCTTGCTGGTTAAAAGTGTCATTGGTTTTGTTAAGTGTGGTCTTCAAGACAAAACAGGGATGAAATGTGAGGACAAAATGAAATGAGTATGAGCATGTTGAGGCGATTCACCCTGATGGGTACAGCAGGTTCATCTTAAGTCCAGCGCATATCCACCTTACAATACAAGTGTTCCATATCCTGCCCAAGAATGCACAACCATACTGTTAAAGAGTGCATTTGTCCTTCCTGTCCAAGCTACAGCTGTGGCTGAATTTTTAACTGACAGTAACCTTTATGTCTATGTGAGCTGTGAATAGATTTTTTTTTCTACTGAACTAAACACAACACCACATCTTTGTTAGCTTTGAAACCATCTATTGCTTGATTAAATCTAAAATATCCTCTGAATCTACCGCAGAAAAGAAGAGAAAAAAATGTAAAGGCCTTTTTTCCCCATGTAAGCGGCTTTCACACCCACTTTATTTTAGCACATTTTAAGTTGATCTGTTGCTTGAAGGTAGACTAATATTTTTGTAAAATAATGCCATTGGTCTCTCACTGTACCCAATGAGCAAAGGTTGTATTAGTTCCCTGCCCCTGGTCTTCTCTGCTCGGGTGCGCCTGTGTAAGCCTTCCCCTAAATCCCTCTGTTATTTCCCCACTTTATCTTCTTCAGCTGTAAATCAGTGAACACGGAGCATCTTCCCCGCTTAATCCTTCTTTCTCATAACAGAGTCCCAGTTAGTCAACCAGTAACACTGAAGTCCAGCCAATGAACACCTTCGTACAGGACGTTTACTTCTCTCTTCCTTATCTTGGAAAGGAATCCATGCAACCATCACACCCCCCCCACCCCCCCCACTGGGCCCTGTAACCTGATGGTCAGATAAAATCTGGGGCCTAGGAACCTGTCACTCCTCAGTTGTTGTGTGAATGATTGCTCTACCTTGTAAAGCGTCTATGCATGACTGAGGTTGTATGGATCTCATTTTGTTACATTCACCCCTCTGTCTCTGAAGCGTTTGTGCAGGAAAAAGAACTGTGGCTGAGAGAAAACAAAAGAATAGGAAAGAGGAAAATATAACATTGCACATTCTCATTATTTTCATTTCATTAAAAAAATTATTCATTTCATTTAAAAACAAAACAAATGCTATACATACAACAAATAATACAAATCACAAATAAAATGAAAGGCAGCAGAAAGAAGAAAAAAATTCTTATTAATACCTGCCCCTTTTTCAATAAATAAGTTCAAACAATAATGTCTTCAAATAACAAAACATAATAAAAACTTCAACTCCTTCTCGAACAACAGTTCTTATGAATGCACATTATAATATTTCTTCAACAATCTAACTTTTATCATTTGTTTAAATAAATTTATTGAGCCAGCATTTTTATAATCGCTTTCCAGATTATTCCACAATCTTATTCCTTGGACTTAAGTACATCTGTCCTTCAAATTTGTTCGAATTTTGGGCTTTACAAACATCTCTATACCCTGAAGGCTATAATTACTTACTCGCTTAACAAAATTTGATTGAATATTTAGAGGTAATAAATTTTTATGAGCTTTATACATAACCTGCAAAATATTATTATCAACCAACTTATAAAATCTCAGTAATTTCAAATGACAAAATAATATATTTATGGGTGACTGTAATGCTTTCTGGTGATATTACTTTTACTAACTTAGAAAATATTTAGTTTAACTAGTTAGCACTTTATTACAACTTCCTGCTAGCAAGATTTGTTTTGTTCAAACGGGAAACAGATTAGGACATTTTTAGACAATAAAGCAGGCAGTTTCCACTTCCCCATCCCACTTAAAGGCCATTGACAGGTGTGGGTGTGGACCCAGTGCTCACAGTGAGCTCCCTCGCCACTCCGTCCTCCTGACAGCCAGCAGTGCCATGTTTTGGAAAGAACCTTTAAGATAAATAGCATTCCAGGTTTTGTGTGCAGCGCGAAAGGTTATGTTGTCTTTTTTTTTTTTTTGGTCCGGCAGACGCCTACAGTCTTCTGTAAACTAAAGATGTCTGTGTGAGGAAGCAGGTGGACCTATTTGTCATCTAGTGGCCATTACTCTTTCACTCTCAGAAATATATATGTAAATGTTTATTGCAAAATGCTCAAATTGTAAGAGGGAAGTGCTTTTCTATTTGTGGCTTTTGACATTTTTTTGGGGGTGCTTTTTCAGCTGAAGATTTTATTTGAGTTTTATTTGACCCTTGCCAGTTCTGACTCAAACCACATGTCTTGAGCCGACAGTTGTATCACAATGTTAGGCTTAACTAAACACAGTTGAGTGTGAGTGTGTGTAATTTTGTAGCGGGTCATAGAGGAATCCTCACCATGCTCTTAGTAGCAACTCTGCCTGTGTGTTTATACTCGCCTGCTGACCCCCATGACCCAAAAGGTGAAGATGGCTCACTAAAGGCAAGCAGTGGGTCACAGACACATTTAGATGTACACCTCCTGCTGTGAGTGTTGGTGTGGGCATGTGAGAGGTCTATTAAACATGCATGTGTGTGGCTCTATCTTTTAATAAATAACCGTGGGAGGTTAAATAACCTTTACTTTAATTATAAGTCGTAAATGTTCCAGCGTGTTTCATTCTGGTTCTGAGTATGCAGAGACAGCGCTAACTATTAAACCTTCTTCAATGCAGTTTCAGCTCTAACCCTTACCTAAAAAAAATGCAGCAATTTGTGTGATTGATGGAAAACTTGGATATATTCCTGTTTTTATTTTATTTTTTTAACTCCTTTCGTGTCTGTGCAAAAGTATTCTTTGCTTGATACATAAATTTGTAACTGCAAGTTGTCCCATTTGGGTTACATTTTATGACATTTTGGAATCGAAACTCACATTTGTACATATCTATATGAAAGGTTTGCGTTTAATGGCTTTTCTCAGAGCTCCAGGTGGTGTAATGTGTTCAACAGATGGAAGAATGAAAAGGGAATCTGGATTTTATAGAAACCTGTCTCACTGATCTACTGCTCTGCTATGTATGTTCAAAATGTCCTCACAGGGTAATACCAAACTGTCCAAACCTGTGTTCATGAGAACAACGAGTAGACTCTCATTCTGTAATCCTTATTTATTATTATTTAAAGTATTTATTGATCGCATCTGATTTGACTGGTATTTTATTACTCATTCATAACAGCTGGACCAGAATATTTAGGTTTCTTGTCCGTTCACAGAACTGTGCGCACGTGGGACGTGAACTCGGAGAAGCAGCACAAGTCTGTGTTCAAACCTCGCTCGTCTAAGGGGAAGAAGGTCATCCCCACGTGCTGCACCTACAGCCGAGACGGAAAGCTCATCGCAGCAGGGTGCCAAGATGGCACCATCCAGATCTGGGACAGAAACCTGAGTGTGAGTCCTCAACAGCATACCAACCACCACAAATGTGCCGCAGATTGTAAATATGAGATGTCTGTTTTGTTATGGCTTCAACTACACAGTCATGAAACTTAGGTCACTCGGTCGAAGGCCATTGAGGGGTCAAAGATGAACAAAACTATTTCCATGGAATTTAACATGCATGCCTTTTTAAAATGCATTTGTCCAAACTTGCAACACTAATTGAAATTACTGAAAGTTTTTGAATTTTGATCTGTTTTAACCCTCACCAATTTATATATCAAGGGCCATTAGTTGTTGTTGACACACTTTATACAAAAGCTCCTAAAAGTATCATTAACAAAGTCAGGGAAGCAACAAAGTTTACTAGAAAACATCAACAAAACTTAGACAGGAGACTGTCTGAGGTATTTTCTTTTGACCAATATAAATAAATGAAGGACCATGAGTCACACTGATGGTATGACTCAGGTTATGTAACTAATAACCGTCTTGTCGTGATTGAGTTGAGTTACATAAAAGTTGCTGGGGGGCCCAATCACAATTTGCCTGTACACATTTTCCACAATTAAAGAGACAATTAGGTCATCAAAGCATACATTCCATTCTTATTATAACTGAGGTAAGAGTTGATATTGGCCCCCGTGAAGCCTGCTTCTCTGCTGACTTTTTTCTTCTTGAGTGATCTTCATAGAAGTGAAGTCTATTTGGTGCTCAGTATTTTGGCAAGATATTTTTATTCAGTGAGGAATTTACTTGTAGTCAGCATTTAGATAACAGTATACTACTACCCACTGGTTCCTGTTAGACAATGTTAGTTTTTGCCTATTTTGTCAGTCACAACGTTCCCCTTCATGAATAAAAAAAAAGTGGAAAAATGTGTACTTCTGTATACAGAAAATGGCACATTTTGCATTAAAAGTATTTTAACCAGAACAAAATGCAGGCTTTTTTCTAGTTTGCATTGTTATTTTAAATTATCCTTTTTTATTTGCAAAATATTTTTTTCATAAACGAAACTAAAAAATGTGTTTTGTTTTTATTATTATAATTTTTTTACAACACCTGTTTTTATCCATTGGAGAGTCATAAAACACTGGATAGCTTAAAAATGTGACTTACGTTTAATTAAAAAATTACAAACAGACCAAGTCAAGCCCTTAGGGTTTTTTTTTATCATGACAATATAGATTTTGTTAGTCCTTAATCTGAAACATAACAGGTTATTTTTTTGCTTGTTTTTTCTGTTTCTTTCAAATTGTCTTATTTGTAAAATTCCTTACAACATTTGAACCCAGAGCAAAGCTTCTGGTAAATTGAGTGAGAATAATGATTGTAACAATTAAGCTGTGGTTGGTGAGTTGGAACAGCTTGATTGGAAAGAAGGGCTTATCCAGATTAGTTGAATGTGAAGTAGGCTACATGATAATTACTTCAACAACCAACTTCATAATCAAACGGCAGACCAACTATGGTTTCTTTTTTCTTCGCAAACCTATTGTGTGTGTGCATTTCCAAGTTCTGGTGTCATACAGACTCCCACCATTTCCCCTGCCACCCATCATTCTACCCCTGGGCTGCACAAAACAGCAAGTTTTGTGTGATGGGGGTAAAGCTCTCAAATGTATTATCCTTCCTTCTCCAAGCTAAATCTTTGCCCTGCATCCTACAGCAGCTTACAATAGTCATGTCTCTTTCCTGACCACTGGAGCTTGTCTTGTCGGAATGGCTGAACAATTTTAGTTGGTGCCCTCTGCCCTAATCAGCAACCTGTGCTGCTGACTCAAACTCAACCACAAGTCTAAAAAGGAGTTGACCTCGTCATGCTTTTATTGCTGCTCCCTCCCCGACTAAAATGAGGCCTATTTCCTGTTATGTTGCTACTATTACTCATGCCCAAAATATGCAGGCAGGTCAATCCTGATCAATCATGTACGTAACCTTCATCTACAGCTCAGCCCAAAGAGGAGCTATTGAAGACGACACATTGAGTTCTCCCACCATGACACGAGCTGATTGATTCAGTGATGGGAGTCAAACAGGTCGCTTCCAGTGGACTGCCGCAGAGAGTGATTGCGTGTTCGTTCTCTGACTACAATTGCACGGCTGCATTTAAGTTGTTGCCAGGTGATGTGCACTCTGTAATACAGGCCTTCTTTCCAAAACGTTACCACAGAGGGCCGAGGAATGCTCTTATGTCACTGGCGAACTTCAAAGTGGGTGCACACGAGATGGTTCTGATAAATCAGTCAGTGCAAGTGTTTTTATCCCATGACATGGCAAGTTTAGTGTTGTTCTACAAAAGATGGCACTTCCCACAAAGCTTTGGCGAAACTTATTCATGTTGTATCTTGTCTCTTATGATACTAGTGTAAATGTCATCGTCATGCAAAAATATCTGCAAGTGTATTTTACAGCTTAATAAAATGACTTAAAGGAGACATATCATCACAACTTGTTTGGATTTAAAGAGACCACATCAAAATGAGATAATCTGAGTCACATCTCAGAAAAAGGGTGAAAGAAGGGCTTGTGGAGGTACAATAAGGAGGAATTCAGACTAAAGCATTGCAGTTTCACTTTATATAGTAGACCCTAAACTGAATGATTTAAATGTGCAAAAGGATTAAAAAGCATGTCTCCTTTCAGAATTCCTGTATTGACAAAATTAATGTAAAGTTTTAACCAAATCTATCAAAATAGGAAGGTGTCACTAAGCATTTCTTACTATTATTATATACTAATACTTACAAACTTTCACAAAAAACAACCCCCTCCCCCAAATAGTCATTTGTTAGATATTAAGAATGTAAGATAGTCATTTGTAATAATAGATTGATAGATTGTGAGTTACATTGTGGGTGATCCAACAGAAGCAAGCTGATTGGTTTACATTGGGAGCTTGTTATCCATGACAGTAGTAATTATAAATGTCTAATTTAATTTAATTTGTTTATTTAAAAGGACAATGCACATTAATTGACATTTCTGTAAATGTGCTAGAGTTAGCCAAATGCTATTTTTCATCCGTTGTCCCTGGACTTAATAAAAACAAGAAAGGTTATACAAAACAAGGTTAAATAGACTCTGCTTCATACAATTTGTCAATAATACAATAAAATACAATCAATACAAATTATATAAAAAAAGGAAGAGAAGCAGAGAAAAAGAAATTACACACAAATAATAGCACCTGCTTTCCTCTTTTGTGTGCGTTACAAGCACATTACCAGTTGTGGCTAAAAGCTGGAAAGTTTTGCAAGCTTGCTGCTCAGACCAGATAATGATGATATGTTGGTGGGCTTATTTAAAACAAGTCTAGCATTTGGAGGTGACATTTTGATTCTGTAACATCATGAATCCTTTAGTTTGGGTTGTTCTTTTAATTTATTGTTAAATCACTTTGTTCTGTGATTACATTGCAATAAAAATGTCTCTGTTGCCTTAGAAAATAATTTAAAATACCTTGAATATTGTGCAATAATAGGACAGCATTGTAAGCTTTTTTTAAGCAGATGGTAATGATTTATTTAGGAGTTTAATTTGAGGAAGGTTTATTGGTATGAGAAGTGGATTCAACTCAGACTTAGCCTCTGCCGTTTTTCCTTCTGGATATTCTCTTTGAAGTGTCTAAAAACTGAATGAGTAAATGGAACTGGGATCCAACCTTGGAGCCAGTATCAGTCTCCCTAATACACAAGGCTACCTCAAGCGACACTAATAATTGTAAATATGTAGCTTAGCACTGAGTCACTTTTACATGCTTCTTGTTTCTAGTTTAACTGTTCCATTAACCCTCCCTAGATGTAGCTGAAAAGATATCGCCATGTTCGTACACTTCGGTGTGTGTCGAAAACAAGGAACAAATATAGAAATAAGACTTGAATGTTATGCGTAAGCAAGAAACACATACAAACCAACTAGCTGAGCCACTTACAGACTTTATTCTGCAAAATAGTGCCGATCAAGGAAGGGAGGTCACATACAGTATATACACTTTCTTCTCTGGCCACTCCCTAGGGGCAAGCTGTCCGATTGATTGGATGCTCTCCCTACCATGTGACCGGAAACCCTTAGACAACAGAAAACGCTGTAAATGCTTCAGGCGTGTATTAACTAATTATATTGAAAGATCGCACTCTGTTTGAAATGACAGCAGACTGTACATAATTAAATCACATAAAAATAGATTATTTTGCAAAATAAGTTAATCAGAACATACCCTAGTTTTCCTAGAATTAAAACAGTATGTGTGATGCATTTAAAAATCAGTAAGGAATAAATCTTCCTTTGTAGCGTTTGACATAGAAGCCATGTTTTTCAGTACTGAAATCCCACAGCTCTTGGGCTTGTTTCTTGTCTTCGCTCACAAAATTGCCTTCCTGTGTGTAACCGAGTCGTGGGGGGAAAACTTTTATTGGATTATCCGACCCCTCATTCCAGTGTGATTCCCTAACACACAGTGCCTCGCCATCACAACTTGTTGATTTCCATGAAAGATCTGAGCAGCTGTTCAGGACTGTGGTTTGGCTACTTGATCCCCCCGCCCAGATGGTAACAAAGGTCAGAGTGAGATGTGAAACTGGCTGCACAGAAGGCATCATTGTCTTTCAGGTGTGCAGTTGTAAAAATATGCAAGAAGTAGGAGACACAGAGACGTGGGGTATTTATATAATCAAGCTCAGCGTGATTTGGAACAGTTGGTGCTGTAGTAGATTGTTATTGTAGTCTGCAGAGGCTGAAACCCAATGCGGAGTTCCCTCTGCTGTTTATCAACGCCTGCTGCAGAAAGTGTGTAGATACGGATTAGCTCTGTGTGTATAAGTGTGTGTGTGTATGAAATTATCTTATTTAGAATTGGTATAACATGTTCTTAAAAAGGGGTTTAGGCACTGCAAGTGCTAACAGAAGATGATTTTAGTCTTGCGAGATGACAGTTAAAAAAAAAAAAGAGAAAATCCTTCTGGAGTGATTCATTCCAGGTCAAACAAGTGGTCTAAAGTTATTTTTTTAGTTGACATGAGAGAAAAATCTGTGGTTTTTTGTGAAGTGTTTGGTTGGAACAGGTTCATTTAGAGAGAGAGGGAAACAAAACAAACATCTGCACAGTTCTCCTTGGTGTTATGTAAAGCAGGACTCATTACGCTTTTCCTGCAGAATGTTCAAAGTATATTTCCATTCTGTGACCTTTTTCTGTTTATTTATGTATTTATTGGCAAGAAACCTCAAGAAAACGTCAGAACACCTCACTTCATACAACATATAATTGCAACACTTGATTGTGTACAGCACATCCTTCAGTGTATTTTATGCAGAGTAAAATAGTACAGATTGAATGGCTCTCAATCACACTTTTTACTTGTACTGCTACTTGCAGGGACCAAGATCGTTACTGTCAGATTAGACAATTTAATGTATCCATCAAAAAATCCTTTTCCATCTTTCTTTTGTCAGTCAAAGTAATTTTAGCGCAGAAAATAAAAAGAACGGGTAGCTATTTAAAGATACCTTAGTAGAATAAAAGTGGTAATCTGTGAGTAAAATAATTGGGAGCAGAAAATTGTCACCTGGGGAGACTAAGCAGGAAAAGTGTAATCCCTGTTATCTACAGTCCAAGGTAACAGTGTTATCTGTCTGAAGCAAGTTAATAACTTCCCTTCACTCACTTTAGAGGTGAAGTATGGCCTCTTATTTCTGTTATCACCTGGGCACATCAGTCATTCAGCTCATGCTCCACTCTCTCTCTCTCTCTCTCTCTCTCTCTCTCTCTCTCTCTCTCTCTCTCCTGCACTTTTTGCAAGCTTTTCCTCTCAATGTGNGGTGAAGTATGGCCTCTTATTTCTGTTATCACCTCGGGACATCAGTCATTCAGGCCGTGCTCCTCTCTCTCTCTCTCTCTCTCTCTCTCTCTCTCTCTCTCTCTCTCTCTCCCCTGCACTTTTTGCAAGCTTTTCCTCTCAATGTGTCTTATCTGTCTTCCACAATGTGTGCTCACTTCATATTCCTTATCTGTTGTTTTTTTGGTCAAAAGCCCACAGTGCTGCAATTCTCTTTTCACTGATTTATTTGCATTCCGTTTAGAATTAATGACAAATGTAGCCGCATAAACCAGGGTTATGTTTGTTTGAGTGTTAGCGAGCCTGCTTCCCATACTGTTGCTCCACCAGAGTCTAGTAATGATCGATCTCTGGCTGTATTTGGGCCAGGTAAAGCTAACGTGTTGTGTGGCGGGCCTGGGAGGGAGCAGGGAAAAGGCAAGGCAGATGAGCTAGTGTTGTTAGAGCTAACAACTAGTTAGAGGTGTTTTCAGATGAAAGGCTTTTTTATTTCTTCATTGCGCATCAGTTGTTTCAGATTTCCGAAACGACAGACTGACTACTATAATTTTTCTCAACTCACCTGTTTGCAACAACTTTAAAGAAGACAAATGCAAAATCCACTTTTTTAGCCATTAAATGCATTTTATTGTGTATTTGGAGTGTGTAGGAGTGCAGATAAGTTGAATTTAGTCTTTCCCGGTACAGCTTAGAAAATTTTTATATTCTGTTTGGGTATATTTTTCAACCCATTCAGTTTTCTTCATTTTCTATTAAGTTTTCTGAACTATTACATCAAACTATTTGCAACAGAGCTGTCATTGAAGGTACATACTGTACCAACTTCAGTCTCCTCTGGGTCAGACCCAACATGTAAGGCTGGATGGGCAAGTCTTCCCTTACAAAAACACATAGTCTGAATTTTTACAAATGATCCTGGTGGTGATTTATTTATTTAGTTGACAACATTGGCTGAAAATTCTGGCAAAACATTTGCAACATAAAATGAGTAAAGAATGGATCTATTGTACCAAAGACTGAAAGTGGCAATTTCATCCAGATCTGAGGTTGCAGAGCATTACTGGTCAGTAGACTGTACGCAACGCACCATCTGTCAGTAAGGTGGCTAAAACTTAGCCAAAGTAAATGTCTGTGGTGTTGCTAGAGTGCGTTAAGTTCCGAGTCTTTCACGAGTTGAGGTGGCCTTCACAGTTATATAATTTGGTGTTTGTGTTAGTGATGAAAGCCGAGCACAGTTTTACATGACACACAAGACACAAAGTGCGTTAATGCAGCTGTGGCATCTGCTGTTAAATCAGAGCACTGGCTGTTTCAAATAACAAGGCATGGTAAAACATTTTTCCCCTTTCTCACAGATGTCTGAAATCAAAGCATAAACGTTCACTCCAGCGTTGATCAATCATAACGATTGTTTATTTTCTTTCTTTTTTTTTAAATCTTAGGTTCACACAAAGTTTCACTGCCAGCAAGCCCACGCTCCAGGATCAGACACCTCTTGTATCTGCTTTTCTTATGACGGCACAACTCTGGCTTCACGTGGAGGTAAAAAAAACGCAGAATGTGCCAGATTACCATAGCCAGCACATGTTAAAGATGCATTTGTTAGGTTTTATATCCAGTTCCTAATTACTAATCAGAAAATGCTGGGGTTTTAGCAGTGTATATAAAAGATGCTTGTCCTTTAGTGAGTGTACAAATAAACTGGTAACTCCCCCTCTCCACAGTACAGAAAAAACAGAAAAGTACAAGAAGTGTATAAACACAATAATGCTTAGTTCCTTCTTGATATTTATTCTTGTCAAGGAGTTTTTAGCACAAGGATAAACAGGAATAACTCTTGAGTTAAAGTCCTCCTTTCACCATTTACACTTGTATTAAACATTTCCTTTCCAGGCGATGACACGCTGAAGGTTTGGGATATACGCAGCTTTAGGAAGCCTGTCAATGAAGCTACCAAACTGACCAACTACTTCTCTATGTAAGACTTTTAGCTTTCGTGTTATTTGCAATCTGTTGTCACCATTACCAACGCTTCACACGGGGATTATTTATACATGCGTGGAATGCTTTCCTCCAGGACCGACTGCTGTTTTAGCCCAGATGACAAGCTGCTCGTCACAGGAACCTCGGTGAAGAAAGATGAAGGAAATGGGAAGCTGGTTTTCTTTGACCGAAGTTCTTTTCAGAAAGTCTATGAGATCGAGGTCACCAGTGCTGTAAGTTGTGCCTCAGTACTCTCAAACACAATGGCTCCTAATACATTTTTTTTACATTTGTCTGCCTGCTTACAAACAAATGTGTGTAAAATGTCTGAATTCACAAGGAGCCATAATGAAATTATGTCAATTGTTTAAATTCACACAGATATACGTACAACCTTTAAATTTTTGTATGTAGGTGACTTCAGGTGCTCTCAAGAACAGAAAAGAGCATTCCTTTCTATTTCACCTAAAAGTCTAAAAACTTAACATTTATCTTAATAAAATACATGCACAGTAGACGTTAAAGTGCAGAAAAAGAAATACCTTTTTACCATATTTGCCTAAACGTTTGGCTGTGACTAAGCATTTCTCCAAATAAAGTGTTTGAAGCAAGTCTTATTTTAGCAACAAAACAGATTTTTCTTTATCTTTAAACAGTAATAAATGATTCCAGCATGTGGGGAAAGGAAAGGTTAAATAAGTTATAAAAGCACGTATTAAAAGACCTCCCTGAAATAAATAGAAAGTTAAAAAACAGTTGGCAGTGTGGTGTGGTGGTCATGGGTGTAGCCTCTCTGCGGCGGGGGGCTGGCCGGGCGTCCTGGTGCGGCCCGGGCCGGGCCTTGGCTATCTGCTCCTCTCCACCTCAGAATGATTGGGTCTACCTCCTGGGTTTGGGTGTGTGCTGCCTCCAATAGGGGGTGGGTGCATGTCCTGGACCTGGTGGGTATAGAGTGTGTATTGGGGGTATGAGTGGAATGTAGCGTCCTTGTATGTCTTTGATTGAGTGGGGGTGAGGATGAGGGTGGGATGGTGCGATTGTGTATGTTTGGGTATTTGTCAGACTGCGGTCTGGGCTGCCTCTCCTGCTGGTTTATCTGGGGGCCCGCTGCTACTCGGCCCCCCGGTGGGGTGTGCGGCTGGCCGCCGGCATGCTGGAGGTTCCCGGGGTCTGGGGCTGGGCGCTGGGGTGTGTGCCAGCCTGGCCTGGTGACTGCCTGCTGGGGCTCGGGGCCTCTGCCCCTTTCGGGCTTTGGCCTGGAGGGGGTGCGCCCTGGGGGCCCGGACCTCTGTGCCCTTTRCTGGATCTGCTGTGGTATGGCGGGTGCCGGTGGGGCCCATGAGTTTGTCGCTGCTGGCCCCGGGGGCTGTGCGTGTGATCGCTGGGGGGACTCACCCAGTTCTCCTCTATGGTCTGATCTGGGGGGTGGGTGGGCGGATCTTCCCGTGCGGGTACCCCTTGGGGCTCTGCGCTGGGGATCCCTCTCGGGCCCTTGGGCTCTGGTCTTCCCTATGTCTGCCTCGTGTCTTGGGGGTTGGGTCTCGGTCCTCCACAGTCACTATTAAATATTCTGTTGGAGAAATCTTGTATATACACACATGTTCACAACTGCTCACAAACAAGTGTTCTGATCCGGGGGGTTCTGACTGGTCACTGAGTGTGTATATATGTCTATGTGTATATACGGACAATATTTATGAATGTAGGCATGTATGTATGTATATCTTTATATATGTATGGGTATGTGTATATTTTATATATGCCCTCCATGTATTTATCCATTTATTTTTCAGGTGAGTGGTCAGATGTTGGGTGTGTGGTCCTGGGTTTTGTTGGTGTATATTTAATATACTTCTAATCGCTATTTCAATCTTTCTATCTTTCTAAATACTTCTCTCTCTGTTTTTCTCTCTGTCTCTATTTTCTCTTCACTTAAAAGAAGTCACTGATGATGAAGAAATAAATAAACTAAACTAATATTTAGTTTAGTTTTCTACTGAAGTGACAAAAAAAAAAAAAAAAGAAAGTTAAAAAACAATCAGTTACAAGACTGGAAAAAAATAGTGATGTTTTTTTTATTTTCTTACTCAAAGTCATTCTCGTAAGCTGTTGGCAGGACAATAAAATCACTCTTACATGGGCTGCCTTTTTAGTTGGATTTAAATTAAATTATTTACTGCTAAAATCAGCATGTTCCATGTAAGAGATGTGCATTAAACTAATCCGAATCTCCCCGAAATCCTGTTCACGAGGGCAACCAGCCGCATGTGTTAAATTGAAGGACAGAGGTGCTGTCAACGATGAAAACATCAGTCTCCTCCTGTGTCTCATTCTGCAGCTCTTCTCTGCAGATTTAGCTGCGTTTGTCTAAAGTCATAACATTGAGGTTTGACTCAGGTTTAACTCTGTCTCACTGTAAGAGACGTGAAACTAAGACACAAGCAATCAAACAAACGTTGAGGAGTGGGCGAAAGAGAGAAAACGGGTTTGTGTGTCTCCTGCCAAGTCAGTTAGCTGTTTTAAACTTTTACACACTAAACACACAAAACACGGCAGCTTATTCAACCAAAAAGAGGGACATTAAGGATACTAACACTCTGCTGTTGTATGATGATCTGATACTAAAAGCTATACCTAGAAGTGCTATTTTTTAAAACAACAGCATAAATGCTAAAAAGAAGTGCCGCTTCTGAAACAGTAATCTGTCTTCAAATAAAGTTGTTTATGCAAGAGTGTATTGATGATCTCAGCTCACTGTAAACCCAAACCTCCTGCCCTGGTGGGGAAGATAATGGTCCACAAACCTGACAGATGTGTACAGTTTTCAGTTGAAGTACACTTGACTTTTATAGACTTGGTAGTAATTATGTCAGTCAAGGAAAAGTAAGTTGCATAGTTGAACAGAAAATCCCACCAACCCCACGTGCATGGTTGTTTATCAATTAATCCCAAGCCCTTAACGTGGATAATTTATGTTCTTGACGAAGTCTTTGTTTGAACGGACTTTCAGTACAGGAAGCATCAAAAAGCGAACTTCAGTCACTTTGGGTCATAGTCTGTTTAGAGCTGAACAGTCTTGCATCACTCTGTGGACATTTTGTCTCCTCTTTCACTCTACTAAAGAGAGGGTAAACATTTGGAAGTGATTTTTCCGTTGGCCTTTCACTTCTTCCACTGTCTGCCGTTGTGAGAAATTCTGAAAACTTCAACTCAGTTTCTCTAGACGCTAAGCAAAACCTTTTGCCTTCTGCTCGCCATCTGCGGTGTGCTAAAATTCTGCACATTTCCCACAAAATCCAACTGAGTGCCATTGAAATGGCGCAGAAACTGCAAGTCCGTTTGGAAGAATTCTTTTTGTTAGGTCGACGATAACTTTTAGTAACGATTGAAGTATTTTAACAGCACTTTTTTTCTCTCCCAACAGAACTAATAAAAATGTTTAAAGAAATGTTCTTCAAAGGTATTCACACATTTATTGGTTTTATTTATTTTATACAGAACTTGGTTTATTTCTGTGCACATTATTCTGAACAGGCACATAAAAATAATGTGTTAAAGTAATTAGGCTTTTGATGTTCAATTTTCCTGGTGGCCAAATTTAACTTAACAAAAAATAAACATGTTATGCACCGGGAAGCTTTTCAGGATCTAACAGAAATCCAACAAAAGGTAACAAAACAAATGTTGAAAGACTGACTATTGTCAATTCAAGCCTTAATTATTTATTTATTTATTTATTTGTTTATTTATTTATTTATTACCCTTTTCATTGATACCCACCAACCCAAACAAAAAATCATAATTGATTAAAAAAGTAATTTTTACAAAGTGTTATTAGGGTTGGTTCAGTTTTTGTCAAATTCTTCGCTCCATTTTAATCTTTCAAACCCTCCCACTCTGCAGTGAGTCCATCACACTAAAAACATTTTTCTCACGTCATGCTGTATCAGAAGCTCGACGTCACCTAAAGGTAAAACGTCCGGATCTGTTGGAGCGGCGGCTTCGTAATCTCTGGTAGACATGCACTCAGTGAACTGGATGAAAAGGCTACTTACTGTGTTTACATCAGCCGTCTGCTGCTCAGGTGGCCCGAGAATTTAAGTGCAACCTTTTATAAAGTGGCGTACCAGGCAGCCGAGTGAGAGGAAGGACCACCAATCATTTCTAACTAAACAGTCTACATAACCCCAGACCTGGGTTCTGGGGTGTGCTAGGGAGCAAAAAGCTGCTTCGGGCCTGTTTGGTAAATATTTCAGATATGCATAAGTCTATTGTCCTGTGAAAAGGCAGGAACCAGGTGAGTTCCCGCTCACTGGTAAAGCTTTGAGCTTTTATATGCATTTCAGATGTCGATCTAATGAATCCCACAAACCTGGTGGACTTTTATTATGTGTGTTTATGTAGCCAAATTCTCCATTTGTCTCGTTTAAATCACTGGTCTGATTCACTTCAGCAGATTGACAAGGTACTGGTCTGCTGTATTCTCTTGTATCCTAAAATACTATATGTAGCATGGCTGTTTTACTGAATTGGTTCTCAATATGAGGTGAAATGGTACTGTAAGTTGTAAATAAGTATTTAGAAAAGTAAAGTTTGCTGTGTAATGACCTGATGACTGTTTAACAGTGAGTTACTCCCTGCATTGTGCTTTTTCAAGTTAGCCTTTGATCCAAATGATCGATCTGTTTGAATCAAGTAGTTTATTTAGAACAATTGCACACTTCATGTGGCTGAAGTGCAGAAAGTTGTTTTCCCCCCTGCAGTAGGAAGTGGATACATTTCATTCTGTCAGAAGTCATACAAATTTGAACGCACTCACTTAGCGCTAAATGAGGACTAACTTACTGCCGTGTTTCGTTCCGTTTGTCTGATTCTGTAACTTAATTAGTGTAGAGATTGAGCAACTGGCTGTTAACTTATTTATCCTCGGTCAGGTTTTAGTTTTTGAATCCAGTGGGACGTAGAAACTGAACCCTGCTGCCGAAGAACCGACTGATTCAAGTTTCCACTCTTGTGATGTAATTTTGTGGACATAAAGTGTAAACTGGGGGTTTTAGAGTATAAATATGTTTCTTTGAATATCTAAAAAGGAGTCCCACCATTGAGCTGGAGTGAGTTCTGCTTGGCTGTGGACTTCTCTGTGAAAACAGCTGTGGTGAGCTCCTCTTATCTGGGCTGTTTCAGTGCTTTTTTTATTTTTTAGCAAAGCTTGTTCTACTGTTGACAGAATGATTTGTTTAGGTCCATGCAAGCAATTTTGGGAACTTAGCTGGACAGCAGTTAACACACCAGGCTTTGTATTTACTCTTAATTTAGTTTTGACTTCTGTGTGCACTGCTACTGCTGCTGGTGTGTGCATGTGTAAGTATGTGCGTGTACTTGTTTCTGCTACAGAGTGAGGACCATAATATGCTTTCAACCAACAAAGTGAGGTCATTTTTGGGAAATGAGGACATTTTCTCAGTCCTCGCTTCTTTTGCAGTTCTACTGTGCTCTACTAGTTAGGTTTAGAGGTATGGTGTGAATTAGGTTTTGATTCGGGTTAGGAATAGACTAGAAATGTTTAGGGTTAGGGAAAATGTCTGGTTTAGGCATAAATGCAGTTACAAAAATGAATGGAAGTCAATACAAAGTCCTCAGTTTGCACGTACAAGGATGTGTGTGTGTGCATGTTTTTGCTACATCGTGGGAACCATTTTCCAGAAAAAGGCAGCCTCGTGGGGACCAATGCCTGGTCCCCACAGGTACAGATGCTAATTTTGGATGTGGGGTTAGGTTTAGGACCAAAGTGTGAATTGAGTTTAGATTAATTTTAGGGCAAATGTTCAGGGTTAGGCTATAAAATTGCCAGAAAATGAATGGAAGTTAACTTGGATGCTTTGAAAGTACCTGTGGGGAGTAGCAGAACCTCAAACATTCATCTCTGCCTTCACTCATATGAGCAGACTCTCACTGTTATTGTGGCAACTTAAACAGACATTTTTATAACCTAATGCACATTTTTATTGAAGCACATTCTTTATATGGATTTCACTTTACTGAAAATTGTCATTCTCTGCTCAAATCTCCAACATAGTCAAGCACGTCTTGTTTACAGCATCTCTTTTTTATGAGTTACACTACCCAGGATGAGCAGTTTAACCTTTATTTTGTGGCTAAAATTGCATTGCTCCTGTGATTATCCATAACATTAAGACCATTTGAGTATTTTGTATTTGTAACTGCAAATTTATCGCCATCGCGATGACAGCATGTTCATTAGGCATTATCGCACAAAACTGTCTGAAATGTTTGAATTTATGTGTTTTATCAGCATCATTCTGATAAATGGACCCGAGACACCACATCAAATCATCCCTTCTGTGAGTGGAGACAATGTTGGACAACTGCAATGAAAGAATTTGCAGTTGGATTCAGTTTTTTAACCTTTGTTAACCTTTACTTACTTTAAGATGTTAAAAAAACTGATAGTGAGAGGCATTTTTCAGTGTTCAGAGCATCAGAAAATGTTTTACAGGGATGGTGTTAAGAAACTATTGCATGCAGTTTGTTTCACTGCTAATACAGCATCTAGTTGCACTTCTTTTATTTTTGAATAAAACTGTCCTGTTGGAATGGAAATTATATATTAGTTGTTTTTTTGCTATGAACCTAGAGCAGAAAGACATCAAAACTATGTACTGAAGTATTTGTTCATTTATCACAAGTCATCACAATATTAAGCACTGTTATCACACCTCACAGGTTTTCCTCCCCTATAGAGCTCTGAGCAATTTGATTGTAGACAAGGAACACCTGTGGGAGTCCTCAAGCATTTGAAGCCAAATGTTAGCTGCTGTTCTTCCAGTGGGTTGGATGATTTATTTGTAAAACTGCATAGATAGGTGGCATATACTAAATTAACAACACTTTACATGTATGAATGCAGATTTTTCCAGCAGAAAATTGCATTCCAAGAAGATGAGCAGTGCTGCTAGTTCAGCTGTCATTTTATGGGTCATTGGTGTGAATGTGAGGTGGAGAGATAAAGTTAGCTGATCATATAATTAAATTCACTCAAGACCACTTTATTTGTGTTGGTATAGAATTTATCTTGCTATGTATTTCTTGTGGGATTTAAGAAATCAACTTCACTTCATAAATGTTATTTTGTTTGCAAACAGTCGTTTACAAGCAAACATTTTTGTTCCCCTTTGAGTGTGCGTGCAACTCGGCGCGTGTGCGATTGAGGCGCCTTCCCCTGGTGTCCTGGTGAGAAGCTGAACAGCTGGCCGTTAAGCAGCTTTCACTGCACACCGAATCTGGAAGCCCCGGTCGCCGTCTTACCCACCCCCCACCCCTCACGAAGCCGTCAAAAACGCTGCGATATTGGGGGTTCGCTAAATCCACTGCAGCTCGCATATCACAGAATGAACAGAGGATCTTCATCACTGTCTTAACAGCTGTGCCTGTATTTCTTTCTCTGGTTTAGCTTTACTCTCACACACTCACACACCCACCTCTGGATAAACGTGGCAAACATTTGCCTATTGGCACCAGGCCATCTGTCACACAGACTGAGGGATCCAGCCCTCGTCCCACCAACCAAATATAGTCAACAGGAGCAGCAGAGCACACCGGGACGTTTCCCTGCTGTACCTACATCACTGACCTCGATCACACACGTTACAGTACTTAAGACAATAAAACGATTGTCAGCTGAGAAACAGAAGCTGGACACTTGCTAATTTGATTCACAGCTAAGACATTCACTACCTGCAGTGTGCAGTTTTAAAACATGACCTTTAAGATTTATCATCAACAATCACTGAAGAAAAAGGCATTTAATTGTGCTTTATTTCTTTTGTCGTTGTGTTTTTCAGAGTGTTGTCCGCTGCCTGTGGCACCCAAAACTAAACCAGATCATGGTGGGGACTGGGAACGGATTGGCCAAGGTATACTATGATCCGGTTAAAAGCCACAGGTTTGTTGAAGTTTGATTTCTTCTCCTGGTGATATTTATGTTTCTTATTATCGCACACGAGCAGATTAAAACATACAGTAAACTTGTTTTATCAGAGACTAGTTTTTACAAAGCCAAAGCTGTAACAGGAAATATTATTCTGTAAAATCTGAGAATCTTGAACTGGAGTAAAGAATAAACAATCAAACTATTTCAGGATGAACTGAAAAAAATGCAGCATTGGAAAAGTGTAAAAACACATATTGAATACTGAGAATGATTAAACTTTTTTTATTCATTTTTTGACATATAGTTAAAAATATCTAGAATATCTAGAATTTAAATATTAAAGGCAAACTTATAAAGTATTTTTAATTTTAAGATGTTTTTTTTTACAAAATTGCTCGTTAAATGGAAGTCTTACCTCCAAATGACGCAAATAAAAATTGATCTCAAACTACAGCATATAAGAATTTTATATGCATGCATTAATCTTTTAAAATTTATCATAAGCAACCTGCTTTAAATCACATTTGTAAAATTAGAAAATAAAAAATTTGAAACAGGATAAATAACTGACATAAATAAATAGTTCTCGGATTATTTTTATGCTTGAATATAAAAAAACTGTGCGTGATACTGTGAAGCTTTTTTTCCTTGCTAGGGTTTTGTTTGACAATCTGATATTGCTTTTCTTCAAGGGGAGCTAAACTGTGCGTAGTGAAGAGCAAACGGAAAGAGAAACAAGCAGAAGCGCTAACACAAGAATATGTCATCACACGTAAGTTCTTCAACATCTGCACTTTTACTCGCACCACCTCTCTTTGCCAAACCCTCTGCTCTTCATGTGATGGGTGATTCTGGTTCAGCTTTATTTTGTTTTTGCACACATAAATATTCAACCCAGTTTGTTTCGTGCCGGGAGGTTTGTGCTCGGATCGCATGGTCGGGCTGTTCGTTGTCCCGTTAGCTGACGGAGTAGGGTTTGGATTATGGAATCAATAGCCGCAGGGCGCGGAGCCACGCGGCAGCCACGTGGCTTCCTGTCATGCAGGAATCACGCACGGGACGACCTTCTCTCCCACCTCTGCCGGCGTGATCTCCTGCTGGTGTAACCACACACACACACACACACACAGACACACACTTCACCCGATCATCATATCTCAAGCTCAGGAGGCCGTCATGTCTTTGGCGCGTGCCTCGCTCACCTTTGCCCCTCTTAATTGAAATCATGAACCTACAGTGAGAACACAGCCGACTCCTCGTCACTGATTGGCTGCTGAGACCCGATCCAGATGCCGTTTAATTGTTTGGGCCGCTGCGACTTTTTCAGTTGCATCATGTGAGCTCATTGTCATGCCAACAGGGCGTAAAATAGGCGAGCATATCCCTGCTGCTAGTGGTGAGTGACGCACTTGATGCCCTGGCATTGGAAAATTAGAAGAGACAGGAAGCGAGTGACGGCCCATTGAGAAAAGCGAGGGAATCTGTTAACAGTAACCTTTTTGCTTAATGTAGCGTGGAAGAGACCAATTAACACCGAGCCACGACAGAGCCCCTGCATGGAAAATCACTTTATCTAGCTCTTTACTAAAGTGTCTCATTATTACCCACTGACCCCCGCCCAGGATAGGGACAGAGCATACACACTTCCCAACCCATATGCTCTCTCACACACACAGATAGTCTCTCTGTCACTACTTTGGGTGTACTCATTCACAACTAATCACAAACCCCCTTCACTCACACGCTCTTTAGAATTAGGTGTGGGGAGCCTTTGTTTTGATGGTGTTCACAAACGTGTAAAAATTGGCAGTGTGACTGTTTAAATTGTGAGTTAGTTGAATATTATGGTGTTAAATATGGCAGGAATGGTAGAAAAGAGGCAAGATGTTGGAGAAGATCAGCTGGGTCAAACTACTGTTGATTATAGGTTGTATTCTTCTAGGAACTAGGGGAGGGAGAGTAGGCATACCAGAAAGTTAATCTCTTATAAGCATGTCCAGAGGTATAAAAATATAAAGATCATGGTTTGCTTTTTGATATTTTTCCAATCTTTCAATGTGTAACTTAACTTTTTGTCTAAATAGAACATTTTACAAAACTCCAAGTTCAATCTAAAGGGTCTGTTTTGTCACAAAGAAAGCACTGCATCTGGATTTTTCTGCTCTCATTTGTTTGCATTAGCGTATCATACTTGTGCATGATGCGTGTCAAATGGTTAGCTTACTACAACAAAGCTGTTCCACTTCGACTTGTGTTTTTTTTTTTTTATCCTAAACCGATCATTTCAGATTGAAGGTAATGCGTTGTCAACAACAGGAAGTGCAGAGAAATAAATAATAAATTAGACTATAAAATTATGTAAACAGATTTCAGTAGAAAAAATTACAACATAATATGGTTTCATAATGATAAGCTTATTTTTTCATTTTATTTTGCAGTCATGGAAGTCATGTGAACATTAATGAAGAGTTTTTGGAAAGAAACAGAACTTCATGGAAGTCATGTATATAGGGCTGAACATTTTTTCTAAGTACTCCACTGCTTGCTTGTTTGGCAGTGTTATATGATCCTATTTACCACAGTAACTTGAATATGCTTGTTTACTTTGTGCTCGTCTAGCTCATGCCCTACCCATGTTCAGAGAGGCCCGGCAGAGGAGTACACGAAAACAGCTGGAGAAAGACCGACTGGACCCCAAGAAATCCCACAAACCCGAACCTCCCGTGTCCGGACCAGGTAAAATGTCGTTTAAAAGAATATATATTTTAAAAAGTAAAAATAAAAACACAATGACCGGGATGCAACAGAAGAGGAAAAGAGCACACATACTGAGAAAGACTAATGAAATATGGCTACAGTTCTGCAGCTGTTTTAAAAGTATTATGAAGTGTGAAACTGGACAAATACAAACTTTTTTTAGACAGATGTGTTAGTCCGCAGTTGTTAGTTCCAAACAGTGTTGTGCAATCCAACTGATGCTGACCTACAATACTGCTCTCACTTGGCCACAGACTGTTGTTAACCTGAGACACAGTGATACGCTGAACTGTCTGGACCCACATTTGTTGTCTTTACATTCGTACTGTAATGTACTGTAAAGCTGTGCCTCTTCGTGAAAACAACTTCAAGATTTGTTCCAAGAAACCCAGATGCCCGACATTTCTCATGTCAGTGAAATCCAGCTGGCTCACTGCTCCCATGTCTTGTGTTTTTATTTCCCTAGTTTGTTTATTTATTTATTTATTTATTTATTGTCCCCTTGTTCTATGTTTTGCTTCGTCCGGAAGGTCTGGACTCTTGGATATTGAAAAGCGGTTTCTTGAAACCGTGAAGGAAGCTAAGCTAAGAAGCTAACTGGAAATTGTGCGCGCTGTGAACAACCGTCCCCTACCGAGAGGAGAAAAGTACCGAGCCGAACAAAATGGCTGTAAATGAGAGCTGCAGGCTTTTTGAGACTAATTTAATTAATTTGGAAGCCTTGTCAACACGGACTGGCTTCATTCACTTCCTCCGCTGCCAACGCTAAACCACAGGCAGACGAAAACGGCGCAGAAAATTGTCGTCATCGTTCACAACTCCGCCTCCTGTTCGCCGATTGGCCCGGTTGAATTTCTACCAGACTAATCCTCGACTATGGGAGAAATCCCAGACGGAGCAGGGAAAACTAGAATTGAGCGGAACTGTGTAGGAAGGCAAGGGCCAGGCTAATTATTTCCTACAAGTATCAGAGAAATCAGCGGCTTCATTAAAGTAGACATATGATGCTTTTAAATCC